CCGACCAGCGTGGGCAGATCCCTGGTAATATCACTTGTGTCTTGTTGTTTGTTAGCCACTCATATCAACTATGATCTGATCCTCTCCTTGGTACAATGAAAAATTATTTCTTGCACTCATTATTCATTATAGAGCTACAGGCTTCACTACAAGGTCTGATATTGGTCCTGCCAGGGATGCCAATGACATTAGGTGAGTACATATTGTATTAATGATGGTATTGTGCATGTCTCTTCATTATCTACTTCTTCTCCATTATCTTAATCTAGAGTTGTGTACATGTCTGTGATTTTATTTCTTAGACACTTTAAAAATGTTTGTAGCTAGGAGCATGATGTCCCCTTGTACTTGATTAATATATCATGGTTTTTCTCCAGAGTTTGAATTTGGCACTTATGTGTGCTTCTGGTGGAGTTGCACTTGTAATATCAACCATCTTTATTATGAGATGTGATTAAAAATAGAACTGACATTGTCATACATGTGGTACAGCACAAGTAAAACATTAAATGGGTACTACGTGTGCAGAAAGACTTTTTTTATCCTCAAATGTGTGAAAATCAAAACGTTTATTGCCTGAATAAATCTTTCAATGGCACAACAATCATAAATACATCTTGCTTTATACTTATTTGTCTGTATCAGTTGTCTTAATGAATAATTAATCACTTGATGGAATGAAAATAAAAATTAATTTTATTTGCTCAACCTTTTCACCACCAGACTTTCTCGGTCAAATTTGTCTGCACTTTTTTCTTATATTCTTCAATATTTCTGGTAATAAAGCCTAATTTTTAAGTCAACAGACAAAATTTTATTTAATTTTCAGTTTTTACCCCAACAATTTGGCTATTTTTGTTTCCATCTTCTGAAGAAAAGTGCAGACTTATAAACAGGACTTACCGGTATTTGTGAATTTGTGATGAAAATTGGTGGGGAAAGGCAATTTGAATCTGGGTGTCCTTTCAACATCTGTACATGTAGCAGTATACAGTGTACAGTATTTCATAACTGTCAGTTTAATGTTTATATAGTGATGACAGACATCCTGCTCCTAAAAAGAAAAAACAAGATGAAGAAGATGAAGAAGAAGATTTGAATGATTCAAACTATGATGAGGTAAGACACGTATAGCCTGTGTAAAGTAAGTCAGCGTTTTTTTTGGCTCCCCCTACTGTTAGCCTTTTGAATGTCTAAGTGAACTTTCACAAAATAACACCACATAAGTTTTTCAATATTTTTTCCATGTTTTGATTAAGTCAGTCAGTGGGAAATTGTGTTTGAAAATTATGGAAACATAAAATTTTAAAAATGTTTTGTGGGCAGTTGAGTAGTTTTGACAATTGAAAAATTCAGAATTTATCAAATTTGCACTAAATTTTACTTTTAAGAATGTTGGCTCTAAAAATGATTGGGCTCAGTTTTCTATTTTTCAAGAAATTTTGGTGGCCATTTTGTCAGTATTGGAAGACTCTCACCAATGGCAGGGATATTATGCCATGTCTGAAATTGTAGCCTAGGGTCATTGTTATCCTGACATATTTCAAAAACTCAGGTTTTAACAAGTGATAAATAATGTTGTTCTCTGTGAAACTGTTCTAAAATTAGCAGTTTTTCAATAATATTTTCTCAAAATACGATACTAGAACACAAGACAGAATGCTGTTACCATGGAACTATAGATCCATGATTGCTCCTATAAGCCAATTGTGCAATTTATCACCAAATTTCACTTTTGCTCTCATTACAAAATTGTTGCCATGGATTTTTTAATAATCTCGTATTTATCATATTTATAGTTTCATGGTTATGCAGGGAGTCTGTTTGCATCAGGACCTTATGAGAAAGACGATGAGGAAGCAGATGAAATTTACGAAGCAATCGAAAAAAGGATGGATGAGAAGAGGAAAGAGAGAAGGTTAGTGTCAATCATGTGTGTGAATGTGCGTCCACCTAGGGATTCCTAATTTCAAGGTATAGTTAATACATTAATACTCACCATCACAGAGTATGACACCCTAAGACTACATAAGGTCTATGTCAGGTATAGTGTACTAAAACACCTTTTGACATATAAAAACATATATAAGTCAATGAAACAACACTTCCAGTCAATAATGAAAACTGTCACCTGACATAATAACTAAAAAAGCTCAGTAAAATTTATCATCTGAGCAACTTGTCCAAGAATTTCATACATTACATTACCCATATTAATTAACTTTTTTTGAATAAAATAATAAAGATGCTCAGTTGATTATTGATTATAATTCAGTATTCTCCCTACTTTATGCCTAAATATGGGGACTAATTTGCATATTAATGGTGAATAATTTGCATATGAGTATATTTAAATGATATATATTAAAAGAACAATGTTGGTAACTACGGTTTGACCTTCAAAAAGAAATATTTAACACATGTAACATTTAATACCACAGTGATGTCTTGAGAGCGTCTTAACTAATAAATAATTTTATATTCATAAAATATAATTTTTACAAATACTATTGGAATGAGCTTATCAAAATAAGTTAATGGTTAAATTACAGAGAGAAAAGATTGAGAGAAGAATTGGAAAGATATCGACAAGAACGACCAAAAATCCAGCAGCAGTTTTCAGATCTTAAGGTACAGTTACACTGAGTTTTAGATTCCTTGTTCATGGCGTGAAATCAAACATACTAGTACTTGCTCTGCTCACCAATAAAAACAACTTTAAATTGACAGAGACAATTGGCGGATGTATCCGAAGATGAATGGTCTAGTATTCCTGAAGTTGGTGATGCCAGGAATAAAAAACAAAGAAATCCAAGACATGACAGGTACATATTGAATTCAACTTTATAAATACTTGAACAGCTTAAATGCTTAGAAGGGAGTTATTCTAATCTGTAGTGCATACCCTGAAACATGCAGTTGCTTCCTTCTTCTTGGAAACGTATAGCCTTTCCACAAAATTAAAAAAATAGAATTGTGACACAATCATTGTGTACTTATAGAGGACCCAATCCTCTGTAATTTTTCTTATGTATGACATAGCTGGATGGATTGTATTCAGTGAAGCCTAGGAATGCAACTTTGAACAGATACTCCAGATTTAATTTCTAAATTAAATGTTTGAATTATTTTAATTCATGTATTTATTAGATTGACCCCAGTTCCTGACAGTCTATTGGCTAAAGCAGCCTTATCTGGTGAATCAGTGAAGTCATTAGACCCCAGACAAAAGGTTAGTACATAGAAAGTCACTATATGTACACCTGATCAGAATACATTAGTGATATAATATATATATGTGCTCTGTGCATTGCATTAATGGGTAGTGATCATTGTAGAAGACTTTTTACAGTACTTTCCACAAAATTTGAATATGTGCTACACAATAACTTTTACATTTAGATGAAATGCGCTTGAGGCAGTCAAAAAAGAAAAACTGATGCAAGAATTCACTGCAAAGCAATCCATTGTCTAATGCTCCAGCTGAAAATTGAATTCTGTAATAAAGTTGTATTCAAATCATAGACCATAATATCCCATGTATGATTCAATGATTTGATAATGCCCAAAAATTTTGAAAACTCAATCACAACCAAATTTATGGAAATTCTGTCATTTGTTGTTTATATACATATCATTTCCAAATCTTGTGAAATCCATAACATTTTCATCTATTACTACATAGATCAAGAGCTTAATGATTATCTCATTAAGTTTTAAAGGTTCTATTCACAAGTATGTTTGGAATCCTAAAAGTGTTTTTAGTTCACTTGCATTCACAATGCACTAATAGATGCAATTACATCAGTTCTGTTCATATGAGTTGTGATTCAGTTCCTAAATAAGCAAAATCAATACTAATTTATTTTTTATTGTTAGGTAGCCAATCAGAAACAGTC